GTATCACACTCTATATACATCCTTATTAAATTATTAAAATTTTAGAAAATTATTGTTTTCAGCTACGTCAAATTTCAATATTGATCTTAATAAATTCATTCATTTAAGCATAATAGATCCATACAAATTTTATATGTTCATCGCACTATAAATATATTTCTAATACAATTTCGAAAATATCTATATTCATCCAATCATTATCATCATTTAATCTGGTTCTTACTTTTTATTTCTTATACTGTCATGTCTGTATTTTAATATTTAGTTATAATGGTTAGCAAATCTCTCTCTCTCTCTCTAATTTATAGGATTCTCTCAAAAGTATACCGCTTACGCAACCAAACAAATTCCTCCTTGAATCATATATTAATTATTATTATTTTTGCTTATAAACTCATAATTTTGGTTGTTTGTGTTCGATTGATAAATTTAAGTTTGTTTTGTTTTATAATGTAAAAATATTTGGAAAAGTATTGAAACTTATTTTAAAATTACTTATATATTTACCTCTATCAAATCAATATTTAAAAAGGCATAAAAATAATATTCAATTTTTCATATCATGAAAAAATTATAACTCTAATAATATGTCAATTTTACTATTATTATTATTATTATTATTTTTTTGAATTTCCATTGAAGAGGATATATTATGATTAGAGTTTTATGATTTTAGTTAAAGATGATATTTTATGATTATTAAAATTTTAGTTAAACACACACTCTAAAAGAATATAAAAATGTTTAAAAGAATTTATGAAAATGAACATTATTGAATGAATTTAAAACAACATATTTTTATTCAATTTTATATATGTTTATTTATGTAAATTTATATAAGAGAAAAAATATAATATAATTATATTTTTAAAAGTGGATGTATATATAAAAATTATGGATGTAAATAGCCGTACTCTAAATAAATAGATATATCTCTCTTTATAGAGCAAAGAGAGTAAAAAAAATAAATCTACCTTGATGATTAAGGGTTGAGATCTGCTATTCAAAATTGACGATCCAACTTGCTGTTTATTTGACATATCATTTTTCACCTATTTTTAAGTACAAATGACAGTAATGGAAAAGTTGAAGGTATTAATTTAAAAAGATGTGTCAATAAATTATTTGAAGGTCAATAAATTGGACAATCAATTCTAAACGGTAAATCTCAACTGTCATGCAATAATAGAGAAGCTATACATCACAGGTTTTCAGCAAATTCTGTTGCTAACAGCTGTATCCACCCAAAATTCCATTACATGAAATAATCTGAATTGAGCTACGTCAACGTCACCAACAACTTCCTTGCATTAGAATCACAAGTCACTTGGGTCTTTCAATGCAAAGAAATTAAGGACCAATTGGACGGGCTAGTTTGTCTTTACAACATGATGCCACGTAACTCATTTATCTACCATTTAAGAATAAAAGAAGAGTTCCAAATTCCTAAGTCATTTTCGAGTCTTATTCTTCTCAAAATATATTTTTTTTATTTATTTTTAATCATACATTCTTTTATAAAATAATATTACACATAAATTTTAAAAAAATTCTTCCTTTTTGACCACACATTATTTAAAAAAATCAGTTTCCCAAAATCTAATTAGAATAGAGTTCAAATAGGAGTTAAGTTTCATAGTTAGGCCGTGTTTGACAATTATTAAAATGTGTTTTTAAATAGTGATTTTGGAGAATGTATGATTAAAAAATAAGAATTTTTTTTTGAATTTCATGTAAAATATTTTATTATGAGAGTGTGATTAAAAATGAGTTTAAGAAAATAATAAATTTTGAAATAATGAGAATCAAATATTAATTTATTTTAATCAGAACCATTCGATCACATCAATTTCGAATCAAATCGAGCACTTGATTCCTATTCCAGTTAAAATCAATTCAATTCTATAACTTAGAGTATGTTTAATTGATTGGTTTTATTTTTCATGGAAAATGTTATTTTTCATTCAAATTCTTATTTTTTGAGTGTTTGACTAACAATTTTTTCATAGAAAATATTTTTCAACTTTTAGTCAATTGATCATAATTTTTATTTTCCAAATAATTCACTCTCTATTTCTCTCTCTCATCTATTCTTTATCTCATCTGTCTTCCAATAAAAAATGAACAAGTATAATATTTTCTGAGTTGAAAACTAAATTAATCAAACACATTTAATTAATAATTTTCATACAAATAAATTTTAGACAATTAGATTGTCTAGAATTTATTTTTTTCCTTATAAATTACATACTCACATTCAAATGAACCCTTAGGAATAAGGGAAAAAAAAAACAAACAATTCTGAGATCTTGGTCAAGTAATCAAGTTTTATTTTGATTCTGTAAATATTTTTATTAACCTCTCTATCAAATTATAATTTATATAAATTTACATAAATTAATATGTATTCAAATTAGCCGACAACTTTAACATATAAATAAAAAGCGCGAAAAAGTATAAAAGATTCAGACGGGCTCTGATTCGATCCAATTTTCTTTTCATCAAATTAGTGATTTCATCTACACAATTTCCAATTACAAATTGAGGAAATTACACTAGACCCTATTTTTCAAGATCACAGTTCAAAAAATAGGTATAATGTTTATTTAATCAAAAATCAAACAATATTTAATTAATAATAATATTATAAAACTAAATTAATTTATATACCCCATCTAACCCCGTTCCGCCCTCCCCAAATTTCTCAAACCCTAATCACTTCCTCACTCCATTCTCTCTCTATATCACTTTTCACTCTCTATCACGATTTTGGATCTTGTTCTGAAATGATTTTGTCAATAGTTTTTACAGTTTGTAATGGTGGTGGCACCGATGGCGACGTGTTGGTGGTGAGCTATTAAATAGCTAATATGTTAGTGGTTGGTAGTAAGGGTGATTGTTCATGGTTGAAAATCTACGATTATGATGATTTTTGTTGGCAGTGGGTTGGATTTAGTGGTGGTGACTTTTGTTGTTGTGGTGGTAGTGGTGTTAGTGATCGTAAGTGGCCGTCGTGGCAATGGCGATAGTATGTGATCCACTATTTGGTGTATGTGAGCAATTATTTGGTTATCTATTATCACTATTCAATTGTGATTTAAAATTTTGATAATTTGTGATTGAAAAATAATTTGTGATCAACAATGATTTTGATTTGTGACCAATTAATTTGATAATATGTGACGTTATAACCGATAAGAATGTATCCGTGACCATAAATTGTATAATTGTAACCTTAATATATTTAATCAATAAACTATAATTAATTAATTAATTAATTAATACTTAATTTCTGAATTTTGAAACTTAAAAATTAGAAAATTGAATTATTCATATTTAATACATGACTTGTGAATTTTTCCTCAAAATTTTGAATGAGACTAAATTCGGTCAGATTCTCAATTATGTGTGGGCAAACGACTTGGTGCCCATCCCTGATGGTTTTCAAAATGGGACATTAGCCTCTATTTGAGCCCATTTTATATCCATTTTCAGACAATTTCGGATCGTAGTACACTAATTTTCTGCATTCAATTTCTACTATTTCTGATAAATAAATGACTACAGCCCGTCATATAAGGATAAAATCCCTTGTCCCGACTCGGGGACAGGATTGAAGACAATGACACCCACCATTCTTGAGGGGCGCCATGTGGAGCCCCTGTCCCCAAGCCGGGACAAGGAGCAGGTCTCATCAAATAATTCGCACTATAATAGAAGCACGTCTATTATTCTTAGCCCCCGTTTGGCCTTCATTCTATTTCTCTCTTTTATTTTCAACCATATAATCTTATATAAAATAATATTATACATAAATCAAAAACTTTTTATTCTTTTTTCAACTACACATTTTTCAAAAAAACACTATTCCAACCATTAAAATTTGACAAGAATGGGGGCCAAACGGAAACTTAATTCTAATAACTATATAAATCTATAATATTTAATTTACTTCTTTTCTTTTCATTAAAGGTCCGTTTGATTGTAAAGATGAAAAAGCAAACCAATTCCATGTAAATTAGAAAAGAAAAAATCACCAAAACCATAAGAGTTCGGTTTTCATGTAATTAGCCAAAGACATGCTTTATACGTTTATATCTTGAAATTCAAACTTCATTTTCACTTTTATATTAAACAACAGAAGTAGAAAGCGAATTCTTCGAATTTGACATTTTTCGTGAAATTTAATGTTATCAAACGGATCCTAACAGACTTTAATTTCTAGAAAATAATTCTTTAACTTATTTTCTATAAAATAAACTTCTAAACACAGAGAACACACTCTCTAGCTAAGAGTTTTTCATCCTGAACGACTCCCTGTCCAAACGGGGGGAGTTGTCCAAGTAGCAATGCCCCTTCTTATATTATATTAAAATTAAAACCAGCCCGAAAGTCGTCAAGCAAGTATTTAGATGAATCATCCCTTTATTTCATAAAGATAGACTTGTTTTCATTTTCACACCAATTAAAAAATATATAATTAATATAGTTAAAAATATAATTTTTTTATTACAATTTTCCAATATACTCCTACATTAAATAATAATTTAAGTATGAATAATTCATAGAAAACATATTAAGCTTCCGTTTGACAACCATTATTTCAGAACTTTTTTTTTCTCCATAATTATTTTCAATCACACATTCACACAATAAAATATTCTATACGTAAATCAAAATTTTCCCTTAATTATGCACTCTCCCAAAAGTTGCTATTCAAAACTTTATTTTGCAAAAATAAAGGTTGTCAAATAGGGACTACATATGAGCGTATTAAGTCCCTGTTTGGTAGAGATTAAAATAAAATTTTTAGTAAATTTTAATAAAGTTGATGAAATGTGTGATGGGATCCATAAAATATGTGGTTGAAATGAATTGTTGACTTTGATTTAGATTAAATTTTTGATTTTAATGAGTGTCAAACAGGAGCTTAAAAAAAAATAATAATAATAACTATTCTCTCAACAACAAAAGACCTATAATTTGGAAAAGACGGGGGGAAAAAAAAATCTTTATGGAACGGAAGCATTATTTTTTACCGTCTCTCATAACTTCAAGCAACGAAATGCATGAAGTACAGCATTTACAGCAACAAATTAAAGCATTTACACAAATTTAGAGTAAACTGCGTGGACATTTTGTGCACCGCTCGTTGGGTTCATCAAACTCTAAAACAAACTAAAGGGAAATACAAAAGATGCGCAAACTAACATATACAAACCTGGAAATGTAATAATTCGATTCGTCTTTCTTAAGCATCATCCATTATATCGTGCATAATATGTCGAATAAGCACGGGGATAGTGATTTCTGGTGCACTCAAATGGGGTAGGTGACCTTCAGTCGACATGATTTCAACGATGGACTTACCGCCAAGATTCTGGTGGAGATATTCCGCCACGGCCACCGGCACTGCTAAGTCTTTCGAGCTCTGGATAATATGGACTGGGACAGTGACTCGCGCTAGAAAATGTCTCAGGTCAAATGTAAATATTGTCCGAAAAACACTCAAGGCTATGTCGGGTCTCATGTTGAACAATGTCCTGCTGAATTCTTGGACAGCCACTGAATCCATGTCTCCACCTACTACTAGTGGAGCAAAACCAGAACACCATGACTTGTAGTTGGATTCAATTGCTCCGCATAGCTGCTCAATGTCTTCTTGTTCAAATCCTCCATAGTAATCCTCAGTATTTATAAACCTATATTTAACAAATTCAAAGAAAAAGGAGCGTCAATTAAGTCGAATATTTATAATTATAACCCTAATTCCTTATTTATGAAATAAATAATAAATCACTAGTTACATCTACTTGCCTACCCTACCTTAGTCGACTGTACTAAGTTTTGAAAAGAAAGTAAATTAAATATTAAATCAACAGCCAAGTACGGTACTCTGATAAAACTCCACATAATTGAACAATCTAAAGAAGCATTGAATCACCTTGGAGAAGCAGAAATCGTGATGATTTTTTGAAAGAGATCAGGCCGAAAGATGGAAGCTATAGCACCAGTCATGGAGGACAAAGAATGGCCAACAAATATGCATTTATTAACCTGATATTCTTCTAAAATTGCTAGCAAATCATAAGCATAGCCTTCAAGAGTGGCATATCTTTCGAAATCAAAGTAATCTGGGTTAGTCGGTCCAGACCCCATATTATCATACAGTATAACTTTGTATTCATCCACAAGATGAGGAACTAAATGCTTCCAAACTGACTGATCAGTGCCAAATCCATGGCCAAGAACTATTATTCTCTCGCCGGAGCCTAAGATTCTCACGTTATGAGCATCTCCAACCGTGCTCATTTTCTGTTTCAACCTTTTCTCCCCTTTCTCTTCGAATATCTGGCTGCTGGTATTTGTGGTTTGAATTTGTTGCTGCTATAGTTGATTTTTTTTGTGCTGTAGGACGACTTTTTTAAAGGTTGAACCGCCTCACTACCCGTCCTTGGAGCATCATGATGGAGATTAACAGCGAGATGTACCCTAACAAGTTAGGGAACAAGAGTTTGCCTGTACATTAGTGCTCACAAAGAGTCAAATTCCATATTTTAAGAATCGAACCCTCACATTGTGACTGTCAACAAGGGTAGGATGACTTTCTTTGATGTGGGCGATGCCTACATTAATTACTTGAGCAATATTATTATTATTATTATTATTATTATTATTATTCAGCTTCACTTTTTGTTCACTCATATAATTAGGGCTGGACAAAACTCTCGAATCGATCGAACTGAACCCGAACCGAACAGAACCGAATCCGACTTTTCTTCTCAAGTTAAATACCCGAACGGATATATGAATCAAGAACCGACGGGTATAGTTCAATTCTCGGTTCTAGGCCAAGACCCGAAAAATCGAATAAGAACCGAATCTCTGTAATTTTTTTAATTAATTTATTTTAAATAAGTAAAATTATTTTATTTTTTCTAAATAAATTTGTTAACTAGTTAATTTAGTTCAAACCACAAAATATGATTTTCCTATTTCTAATATTCAGTTCAAAATCGACTTAATCAAATTGGCCTCAATTTTTTGTCCAAATCTGTTATTCTACTGTAGTGTCATTTCTACCGGAGAAAAGCGAATTAAAGCTCTACAACATCTCTCTTAATTATTTTGAGCTCGCTATATTTCTCTTTTTGTGATTTTAATAATCAAATTTATGAATAATTCAGCAAAAAGAGAAGTGAAACACATAAGATTGAACTACGTTATTTTGTAAGAGCTCATATTAAATATATCATTAATTAAATTAACGTAACTTTGTATGTATTAAAAAATTTAATTATAATACGGAATCGAATGGAATCGAACCGAACCCGAACGGTTCCGTAATTAAATTTGAACCCGACGATTCCACTTACTAAATACCCAAAAATTTCGGGTCAGTTCGGTTCGGTTCTCGTTAGAACCGAATTGAATCGGACCATATCCAGCCCTACATCTAATCTATGGCCGAGAACCGAATCGAATCGGATCATATCCAGCCCTACATCTAATCTGTGGGCTATTCACATTAATGGTAGTGACCCCTCTTCTGTTTTATCCCACTAATGGTTACAAGTGACTTGGACCTGACAATTTTCTTGGATGCCGAATGATTTAAAGCTAGTGGAGCATATATGAGGTGCACACATGGGTTGGTTTCGCCGAAGAAGGTTGAATGGACAAATGCAAGAAAACATTTAATTAGGAAAGTGACATTCCCGTGCTTGAAAGCAGAGTTCCCGTGAAAGGAGATAACCCATCCAATAAATTCATAGCGGGTGGGTGGAATTAATTTTGATTGCCATTTGTCACGTTTATATTTATTCTAAGGGTACCTGCTCTTTTCCAGGCGTACTAATGCCGCCACATAAAATTCTTGAAAGTTGAAACTAGAGATAAGTTTGAGCCCCCATTACATAAAAATTTCGGATAATGCTGCACGTACTGGGCTATGAATAATAATATTTAGTCTCATTTATGCTTGTTGGCGTCAAAATTTGTAAGACTGATCTTGAACCAATTTTAAGAATAAAAAGGGCGAATTATTACTAAATGAGCCATAAATCGATTGGGAAAATATAATCATGTCATAGTCCTTTCTTCTCTTTTTTTCTTTGCCCCTTGGGGTAACAATTTCTCCATTATTTATACATGTTTTCGGTCGAAATTACATCAAATCAGCTACAGTTCCGAGCTCGAAACTCGGGTCACCGAATTCTCCTATGATTGATCGACGAGATTGGTGGCCATGTGTTAATGTTCTTCTCAGATAATGATGACCCTTAGGCAACTTGAAGATCCCGAGCTAGGGATTGGTGGCTGTGAACGACAGTGACATCACTCCCGACAAATGGGTTGATTAGAGTGGTTAATGTGACAAGAGGTAATCATGATGTCTTCTGAGTTTACAGTGGGAAATCCGATTTGGGGGTCCCAATCGAACTCACATTTACTTGAGGTGGGGCCTGCGATGATTTGTCATGAGGTTAGAGTTCGGTGGTCAACAATGCTTATATATTTCTTTGTGAAAGTGTGGCTATGTATTTTATTCAACAAAATTATTATTCATTTTCATAATTCTTATGTTAGAACAATGTGATTGTGATCTTGTCGTCACATAAATCGGTACTAAACATCAATAAGTTGAATAGTTAACATTATTTCACAAGCTATTTTTGCACAGCTAATCACCCACGACGATTATGCTTTTGTACTTCACTGTTGTATATACTTTTGCACCAATCACTAAGGATCCGAACTTTAGTTTTTGTTCCAACACACCTCAGTAATGTACGGTTCTATTCGTGCTTTCCTTTTTTCACCTATTATACCATTGTCTTTATAATTTATTGGTCGATTTAAGTTTTATCCAATAACAAGGTAAACGTGACTCGATAAAATCAAAGATTTATTAGAAAAAATACCTAATCAAGTTATTGTTAGAGGTTCAAAACTTTGCTTTGATCTAAAATTAGAGGCAAGACTCAAAATGTAGAAGTTATGTGAAAGTTGATTGAAATAGAGGGAAGTCGAGAAAAGATTAGAATAATTAGTAAAGACGATAAAACAATCAAACTGAAATAAAAGTTAAAAAGACACTAAGACCATGACATTAGATGAAATCAATGACAAAATTATTATTCTCGTTCATGACAAAAGTAAATAGTAATGGATAAAATCATGACAAGTAAATTATCATTTTCATCCATGACAAGCAAGTAAGTAGTGAATACGTAAAATGATCATTTGATACATCACAATAATATTTGGCTTGAACAATAAAGAGTCGGCGCAGGGCTTCTTTTTATTTATAGCCAATGGTTTAATGTCGATATATTTTTTTTTCTTTTTCATTCTGTCTATTTTTCAAGATGACATATTTCATGAGATCTATTTATTTTTATTATTTCTAAGGACTTGAACCTGTTCTGAAATCTATTTTACCTATTTGGGGATCTTCGAACTTCTTTTAGGTTTCATTTGATTAGTTATGTTTTAGGGTCTCTTCAATTGTACTGCTTTCTTGATATGACTATATGGATTATTTGCTCTACTTTCCTTTTGAGGAATTTTTATTTTTATTTTTATTTTTATTTTTTTGAATCAACTTCTCTAACACACTTCAATATATTTAAATTTTACTATATATTTAAATTTTACTGACTGATTGTCTCACTAGAATATATATCCGATTGGAGCATGTACAACTAGTAAAATGTCCCAATGCATTTGGCAGCTGATTTAGTATTACATTTTTACTTCACATTCAAATTGCCTCGTACAAGCTTAACTATGATGTATTTTATATTCCATTTTTTCAACTATTTAATTTCTATTCCTTAACTTTGAGATAATTGTATAATAAATAATGAAAGTTAGCAAACTATGCCATAAATCGTCACCCTTCAGGGATCAATACATCCTAACTCCTAATCTAATCTAATAAACTAAAAGAGCCGTCCCCGGCATAACCCAGTGGTGCAAAGGATAAGAATGAGCTTATTTCACACCTTGTTGGCAGCCACAGTGTGGGTGTTCGATTCCTGAGACATGAAATTGGACTTCTTGTAGGTGCAGTGTACATACAGCTCTTGTTTCCTGACTTATTGGGACACATCCTGTGATTTACCACCCTCACAAAGTTCTAGGAGCGGAACGGTGGGGACCCTCAAGGTTGTTGTTCAACCTTTTTTTATTAATATACTAAAAGAGCCAGTTTTGAGGACATTGTTTCTCTGGAAGTGTCCCCTCGAATTTCTTTTTCCATTTTTTTTTACCTCTCTCTCTCTCTCTCTCTCTCTTTTTTTTTTTTTTTTAAACTCTTCACTCAACATTTAAAAATGTCTTTTCCTCATTATTGATTCAAAAATGACACTGTTTTATTTGCGGGAAATATATCCAAACAGCTTAAATAAAAGGAATGTTTTTGAAAATAGACTAAGAAATGAAAACATTTGAAAAATAGTCTCCAAATAATAATCTTTCCAAAAATACCCATTATAGAGAAATTGCAACCAAAGCCATCACAATGTATAAAAACCTTCAAATAGATCCTCAAGAAAATATAGACCAAAAATCTTTAATTAATCTAAACCCAAATATTATAGAAAATTTTATTGATCTAAGAAATGCAACAGAATGTGAATTAAATTATTTAGAGGAAGAACTGAAAGGACTTTTTACAGAATATTTAGATCCAAAATTAAAAAATAAAAATGTTACTATAGATAATAATACAATCAAAACAGAAAATGATATATATAAATTAATTCTTAATCTGAGAAGAAGAATTAAAGAACTAAATAAAATCATTAAAGAAGAAGTATTAATAAAAAATAGTGAATTTTATAAATTTTATTGCGATATTTTAAATACTTATGAAGATTTTAATTGGCTCAAAAATATTAACCCTCCGCTGCATACTCCGACGAAATGGTATCAGAGCCATGTTACGAATCAAAAATTATGATGAATATAGTAGATGAGGAAAATATAATTGAAGAATTTTTGAAAAAAGTTGAAAAATATAAAAAAACCTAGTTATCCTTATTTACCTAAAAATACCACAAATGAAAATTTTGGGGATATACATAAAAGATTAGAAAATCTAGAACATAATCTACAAATAGGAAACGCTCTTTTAGACAAAAGTCTTAAGGGAAAGGATAGAATTATAATAAATCCACCCCAAGATTTTAGGATAACACAAAAAGAAAATAATAAAGGGAAAAAATATGAAGAAAAACTATATATGATAACAGATGTAGAAGAAATAGAACAAAAATTCTTAGAATCTACATGTGAAGAGTATGAAGAATATAAAAAACAGTTAGAAGAATTAACTGAAAAAATGGAAAATATAAAGATGAATACTAATCCATCTTCAAGTCAGAATATAAAAGTAGAATTCAGTAGTGA